ATTCATGGACTTCCACCAACGGTTCCGCGTACACCGACACACTTTATGGGCTCTTATACCAACGAAAGTGCGTATCCGAAATACTGGGTCTCTCACCCGAGGGATAGTCTAGCCCTTCTTGCTAACCCTGACCCAATTATTTTTCTTACAACCGTGCGACTCAGCCAGATATTCAATCTAACTTTCCCGAACCCACTAGTCAACTGCCAAGTTTGGTGTTTGACCAACTCATGCACTCACCCATACTCACACCCATGTCTCATGCCCAAGGATGTGATGTTCCTGTGCATATGCAATATAATGCACCATTGCTATCTCAATGTCATGCCCATATGTAATCAATGTCATATGAGCAACTTTAGCCACATGTATACATATATCATGCAATCGATCACCAATTTCATCTCAATGTCAATATATCAATGAGCATACGTCAACATTTCATTTCCAATAATAACTCACAAGCATGTTATTTCCTCATAAATATCCCAATAACACTTTGTTCGTGAAGGCATAATTAAAACACATAGCATGCCCACATAATACCACGTTCCATGGAATTACAAGTAATTACCACATACCAATCCCAAGTTAGGAATTTAATTTAAATTAGGTCAATTTTCCATACCCAATTCACCAAATCAATCGATTCCATCAACTCTACATCCATAGGCAAGTGATATATATCTCTATCAACCTACCCATTACATAAAACACTCTAAGTTGTAAAATAAACTCGAGTAGGAAATAACTCTACCTCTTGAAGCGTAAAGAACGATCGAAGGAAGGCCCAAAAACCCGCTTCTAGCCCAAATCCTAAGCTTCCAAAAAATCTCGTATCTTGATCTTCGATAAAAACCCGTCATTTTTGGTACGTAGGCGTAGCCCTTGACGAGAAGAGCAACTTTTCCTCTTGGCCCGAGTGGATCTGAGCACTCGAATCTTGTAGATCGTAGAGAGAAGTGAAGAAGCTTCTCTATTTCCCTCTCTTCTCTCTTATCAGGTAACGACTGAACACAATGGGGGAAAATTAGATTTTTCCACCTATTTATACCCCCTAATTTACTTGGCTCACAATGAGCCACACGACCTCTTTTTTCTTGGTCTGTTTTCGTCCTGAAACTATTAAATTTCGTCCCGGTTTAAGTTTAAAATATTTTTATTTTAACTTACCTTCAATAATTTTCTAACTTTGGAAATTTTATTAAAAATTCCGTTTTTAGGGTCACCCGAGATTCGACCGCCTCGTAAAACGTAAAAAATTCGATTATCTTAAAATTTGATAAAATTTAACAGGGTAACTAGATTTCGCGAGACGAATCTAACGGTAAGGTCCGTTTCATCATCCGAGATCTTGAAAAATTCAGGTTTTCAACCCGTACTATAGCAGCAATATACCGTTTTGCCCGTTTGATAAAAAGTTTAAATTTATCGGGTTTTACATTAGGTTTATTTCTTGACCTTGGTTTGGCAGTCCGAAAATGTCAGCAATGTTAGATGACTTAAATTCCGCTGGATTCTATCAAAAAAAAAATAATAATAATTATAATGTTGAAGATTGAAATGCTGGATTATATGGGTGATATCATAATCGAACTTCATGTAAAAACTTTCTGATACCAGTCCGTTGTAGTATGATTTGAATATACCTCAAAATGGTGTTGGTTTCACTAACTCTAATTGTTGTGTGCTTATCAGAGGCTTGATTTCTTTCATCACAAGTGATGAAAGACAACAGATTGGACCTAAACTGGTCAGTCGAAGACTTCTTAGGTGCTCTTTTTGTCGACATGGTTTAATTTGTATAATTTTCAAAATGTTTCAGATGTGTAACTAATATATCTAATAGGTACATATAATTCTCAAACATAATCATAACCAATTAATCACTAGATTATTTGTACAATAAAAGACATTGATAATGATAGGTACATTGTACAAGTATACGGTTCAAAACAGGAACATATGGTTCTAATTCTAGTTTACTGTTCTAGTACATAGCATAGGTACTATAATTTTACGCTATAGGTAGATTGTGAATACCATTTGAACAAAATGAGGGAAAAGCTATCTACAATGTTATTCATATTTCTATTACATGTACATTACAAAAAGCAAAGCAAAAAAAAAATTATAAATTTTATTGCAATGAAACCCTATTTTACATGGAAAAAGGCTTCTAATCTTGGTTTTTGTTCAGGTACATAGCATAGACACAATAAATTTAAGTTGCAAGTACATGACTTTGATCAAAATGAAAGGGAAGTTATCTACAAATACATTAGCATAACATGTACATTACAATATCCAGAGCAAAAAAAGATGTTTATAGGAGCTATGGATTGAATTTTATTACATGAAACTCTAATTTTAGTTCACAAAAGATCGAATGGAAGGCATGATGGATTGTGGTAATACATAGGAACATTCACAATGTATCTATATGCGATAGGGTTTTGAGATGGCACCCATACGACTAAGAGGTTTTCAAATGTACACAATATCTTCAGCGTTGAATGAGAGAAAGTGCGAGGTAGGTGTTTTGGTTTTTTTTGTTTTTTGAATGTTAATGGATTATAATTTTGGATGGAAATTTCTTCATTTACGCATGTATTTCTTGAATTTCGAATGTATTAAACATGGTGGGGGTTTTAAACACCGCCTCTAATGAACATATCATGTCTCAACAACTATACAGGTACTAGGGGTGTTCACCCTACCCTACGGGTAAGAAATATAGTATTCCGTCTTTTTACCCAATACTTTGCAAAAGAATTTTTTTTTAGTCTACCCTACCCGATCAGGTGTGATATTCTTACCCAATTAATCGGGTAGGAAGTTGGGTAAGCACTTTGTAGCTATTAATTTTTGAACCATTTTAAAATTTTAATTAAATGACATGCATCAATTTAACAACACAATAAACCAATAACACTAAAACCTGAAACAACTACAACAACAATTACCCAATTTTTTATGTTAACTGGATAAGTTTTGAAAGCTTAAAAAAACAGAGAAAGTCTGAACGATGCTTGAAAGCTAGGGTTTTGAGGTTCATTAACTTGATGCTTAAACAAAAATTAGATCTGTAGATGAAGGCCTGAACGATGAAAGTCACCTGATTGCGCCCAAACAAAGACAAAGAGAGAGATAAACAGAGAGAGAGAATACCTGAGGACGTTGGGACTGAACGATGAAGGCCTGAGCTATAGAGGCAGAGACTTGAGCGATGAAAGCCGATGGAGGCCNATATATATCTCTATCAACCTACCCATTACATAAAACACTCTAAGTTGTAAAATAAACTCGAGTAGGAAATAACTCTACCTCTTGAAGCGTAAAGAACGATCGAAGGAAGGCCCAAAAACCCGCTTCTAGCCCAAATCCTNGAGAGAATACCTGAGGACGTTGGGACTGAACGATGAAGGCCTGAGCTATGGAGGCAGAGGCTTGAGCGATGAAAGCCGATAGAGGCAAGAGGAGAGGAGTGGAGTGAGGCACTCGCTTAGTCAATTGACGATATGGTCAGTTAGCAATTAAGATTTTTTTTTAGTTTATATATATATATATATATATATATATATATATATATATTAATGTAGGTAGGGCACCGAATGCAAAAATTAATGGGTATTTTTGCATTCCTATCCGATTTTTGTAGCTAGACGTTTAATAGGATAGGAAATTGCGANTCTTGTAGATCGTAGAGAGAAGTGAAGAAGCTTCTCTATTTCCCTCTCTTCTCTCTTATCAGGTAACGACTGAACACAATGGGGGAAAATTAGATTTTTCCACCTATTTATACCCCCTAATTTACTTGGCTCACAATGAGCCACACGACCTCTTTTTTCTTGGTCTGTTTTCGTCCTGAAACTATTAAATTTCGTCCCGGTTTAAGTTTAAAATATTTTTATTTTAACTTACCTTCAATAATTTTCTAACTTTGGAAATTTTATTAAAAATTCCGTTTTTAGGGTCACCCGAGATTCGACCGCCTCGTAAAACGTAAAAAATTCGATTATCTTAAAATTTGATAAAATTTAACAGGGTAACTAGATTTCGCGAGACGAATCTAACGGTAAGGTCCGTTTCATCATCCGAGATCTTGAAAAATTCAGGTTTTCAACCCGTACTATAGCAGCAATATACCATTTTGCCCGTTTGATAAAAAGTTTAAATTTATCGGGTTTTACATTAGGTTTATTTCTTGACCTTGGTTTGGCAGTCCGAAAATGTCAGCAATGTTAGATGACTTAAATTCCGCTGGATTCTATCAAAAAAAAAATAATAATAATTATAATGTTGAAGATTGAAATGCTGGATTATATGGGTGATATCATAATCGAACTTCATGTAAAAACTTTCTGATACCAGTCCGTTGTAGTATGATTTGAATATACCTCAAAATGGTGTTGGTTTCACTAACTCTAATTGTTGTGTGCTTATCAGAGGCTTGATTTTTTTCATCACAAGTGATGAAAGACAACAGATTGGACCTAAACTGGTCAGTCGAAGACTTCTTAGGTGCTCTTTTTGTCGACATGGTTTAATTTGTATAATTTTCAAAATGTTTCAGATGTGTAACTAATATATCTAATAGGTACATATAATTCTCAAACATAATCATAACCAATTAATCACTAGATTATTTGTACAATAAAAGACATTGATAATGATAGGTACATTGTACAAGTATACGGTTCAAAACAGGAACATATGGTTCTAATTCTAGTTTACTGTTCTAGTACATAGCATAGGTACTATAATTTTACGCTATAGGTAGATTGTGAATACCATTTGAACAAAATGAGGGAAAAGCTATCTACAATGTTATTCATATTTCTATTACATGTACGTTACAAAAAGCAGAGCAAAAAAAAAATTATAAATTTTATTGCAATGAAACCCTATTTTACATGGAAAAAGGCTTCTAATCTTGGTTTTTGTTCAGGTACATAGCATAGACACAATAAATTTAAGTTGCAAGTACATGACTTTGATCAAAATGAAAGGGAAGTTATCTACAAATACATTAGCATAACATGTACATTATAATATCCAGAGCAAAAAAAGATGTTTATAGGAGCTATGGATTGAATTTTATTACATGAAACTCTAATTTTAGTTCACAAAAGATCGAATGGGAGGCACGATGGATTGTGGTAATACATAGGAACATTCACAATGTATCTATATGCGATAGGGTTTTGAGATGGCACCCATACGACTAAGAGGTTTTCAAATGTACACAATATCTTCAGCGTTGAATGAGAGAAAGTGTGAGGTAGGTGTTTTGGTTTTTTTTGTTTTTTGAATGTTAATGGATTATAATTTTGGATGGAAATTTCTTCATTTACGCATGTATTTCTTGAATTTCGAATGTATTAAACATGGTGGGGGTTTTAAACACCGCCTCTAATGAACATATCATGTCTCAACAACTATACAGGTACTAGGGGTGTTCACCCTACCCTACGGGTAAGAAATATAGTATTCCGTCTTTTTACCCAATACTTTGCAAAAGAATTTTTTTTTAGTCTATCCTACCCGATCAGGTGTGATATTCTTACCCAATTAATCGGGTAGGAAGTTGGGTAAGCACTTTGTAGCTATTAATTTTTGAANTACAGCAATTCTCACCCGTTGCATCCAATCAAGAACAGGACCTGGCTGTGCCCCTTGTACTCCCTTCCTACCTGTAACAGAAAATATAACTCAATATTGCTTCCTAGTTACGAGTTGACAACAGGAAATTTTTGCCCCAGTGAATAACTGAACGCATACTGAACTCATACCATGCAAAATGTCATGTAGAGATCCCATGGTTGCAAACTCGTATGCTAACACACGCAGATTTCCTTCCACACAGTAACCAAGTAACTCAACAAGATTATCATGCTTCAGTCGCGAAACCATGGAAACCTTGAGCAAAAGGGTCCAGTCAGATACAGTAATACACAATATCACTCATAAAAGAATTAAAGCAGTGCATTTTGAAAGAAAAATAAGGTGACTACTACTAAATATATTTCATACAAAATGCAGAAACAAACCTGAGTCAAAAACTCAACATTTGACTCTGGCTCTGCAGCAACATCAAGTTTTTTCACAGCCACAGCTTTTCCATTGTTTAGGTTTGCCAAATAAACTCTTCCATATGATCCTTCTCCAATCAATGCCTTTGAGCCAAAGTTGTCGGTTTTCTCTTTCAGTTCATCCAAAGACAGTGCAGGGACTTCAATAGGTGGCACTGCCTTTTGCACTTCAGGCTTGACTGGTGCTGATACCTTAGAGCCTTTTGGGTGCGCTAATATGAAAAATGAACAGCATTGGATTAACACAAAGAAGCTATGAGTCATACAAATCTCAAAAGCACAGCAGGGTAAGACCACAGGAGCCCCACTAAAGTTAATACTGAAAATACTATAAAACTTGCTACAAATACATTCATCGTTATTATTTGAGATAAAAACTCATTTAGTAAGCCGTAAACATATAAAATTGCCCACTTTTTTGATCTTTGTCCTTCTCCCCAATTGGTAAGATAAACAAACACAGCATCTTTTAATGAGTAACTAATAAGACAGGTTGACACTAGACAGTATATTGAGAAAGAGTGATCATCTATCTACCTCAGTGTCTGATGATCCCCAAAAAACTCTTTCAGAATGGCTGCCCTGCTGTTCAATGAAGGCACAACTTTAAAACTACATGTTAAGGCAATTCTACAACTGAAATTGAAGTGTACCATATGTGGACAAATCGCTCATGTCCACTTGTACCACTGGAAAGGTTCATCAATGTCAATCTGTACAGATATGTCTCCGAAAACAGCTTATCCTGGATGACCACACCAATTCAAAACTAATCACATCCTTTCACCCGTTTAGGTAACTCAAACATCCAAATGTTTACTTCATCCAACATTTTTCCACCGGAAACTAAGTTAAACACTGAATTTAAAGTAATTTGTTTCCCATTGTTCAGCTAATCAGAATTGATATCGTGCCACCGAGCTGATTGGCCCATCAATTTGATTTAATTTAATTTGACTTTTTGACTTCATCTTAGATTGAAGACACTGCATAAACATGACACTGAACTGGGTAACAAGAATTTGTGGTATATAGTTCATTCTAAAGCGTAAAATGAAGGACTAGGTTGAAGCGAAAGTGCTCCTCATGTCATTAACACAAATCTGATGTCATTACATCCCTGACTACCATCAGGACAAGGTCACAATAACAACTCCATCACCATAAATTAGAAGTAAAAACTATTATCACCAAGAAACTGAGAAAATAAGAACAGCTCGCCTCCTCAATCATACTTTGAACAATCTCTCAGTAAACGAAAATGGAATGGAAAAGAAAGCCAAGCCATCCATGGCAAAACAAAAACAAGTAGAAAGAGGGAAATCAGCATTTATACTAAAAAATAACCCCGCAAAGAACCATACGAAAGGAACTCCGAAATCCCTCTGATGTGAGAATTTTTGGCAACGAAAACAATATTAAGCTGAATTTGTTTTTGCCTATAAATGAAAACCAAAAACCCAATTATTTTGGCATAATAATAGTTTAAATGTTTATTTTAAAACCTCAGATTTTGAGCAAAAACTAGTTACTTAGGCATTAGGTTGTTCCAAAGTGCAATCAAGCCCTAAAAGTATATATTTCAAAACTGCCAGAGTGTTAAGGTGAACCCTAATCATTAAGGAGACGTGAAATCAAATCCTTCCAAATTCATGGAAGAAGGAAATTTAACACTGCTCTGTTCCTATATCTCATACTATGATTCACAACCCCTCTCCCTACTCCTCTAAAATATATTGTCCATTTCCAAACTTTAAAAGCTTACTCAATTTATAGCAGGTGACACACTACATATCACCAAATGATTTAGATGTTTCCAAATAACCAACCATCATCGCCAGGCAGCAAATAACAGGGGACAAAGTTCATCAACATAGCCTGAAAATATAGGTGAAGGCAGCATACCATCTGCATAGTTCCTCGGACTTTTGAGGTCATTGTCATTTGATGGGTAGGACTCTTCTACTTGACAAGTACAACAGAACCACCTACGCATCTTTGGTTTCTTTCTCAAATAAAGATCGTCTGTATTCTCCAACCGCACAAAATAACCAGGAGGAGGCGCATGTGCCTGCAATATTACTCTCAAATATAAAGCACAGCTGAAAATTGTGCTACAGGATACTATCAATCATAACTTTATAAAGCATACCCATAACTGTTAATAATATCTCCATTTTGAACATAAAAAATAATCGTAAAGAAAAGTTAATGCCTCTCTTCAAAGGGAAACAACACAAAAGGCCAGTTCACAAACCTGTACAAAAGGGACAGCTACGAAAGAGGCTAAAATATAAAATCAAAATTAAATCAAAATGCAATGAAGGAACAATTTCATGGCTTTTATTGCCTTTATGCCTATATTCTTTACCCTATATCATATATCAGATGCATTAGCGTTTGCACAAAAACAGACAATCACATTAACTAACAATTATGGATCACTTAAACTTAAAAAAAAAAAACAATCCAAGGATCATATCAACCACGGAAATGCTGTGAAGAAAATTCAAATTGCATTACAAACATATATAGACAAGGCAAATCTTGGAAAATGACAAAAACAATAAAAACCACATCCTTCTGCGCACGTTTACATACAGTTCGTATCAAAAAATATAAGAAAAAAACAAAACAAAAAGAATTTCAATATAAAATACGAGAGACCCACAAATTCTTACCACTAATCCAGGCCGATGATAAGTGTCATCCATAGAGAAAACCAAAATTCCAAGCCCAGAAAATCAGAAAAGCAAACAATAAAAATTTAAACAGGAACCCAGAAATTAGATGGTTCTTCTCAATACAATTCGATCAATTCCAAGGAAATAAGCAATCAAAACGCGAAATCAAGGACCTAAAAGTGCGTAAAATTGAGAAGATCCAAGAGAAGAATGGGATAGATAAAGAAAATAGAATGTGGGAAATGGATGGATCAAATTGAATAACAGTTACACGCCCTAAAAATTGACAAAGAAACCAAAGTCAAGAATAGGCATAAAATTAAACCAGACTAAATGAAACCGGAATTCGGGGATTGGTACTTTACCTATTGTCTCTCTCTCTTTATTCTCTGCCCTTCGATCTTTCCAGGGCCGTTGTTTATGTTAGTGGGAGTCGGTGGGAGACGGAAAAAAGTGGGGGAGAAACAGATAGGCAGAACAGGCAGACAACGGCCGAATTGAGGAACGAAGCAGAAAAAAGTATCTCTCTATTTGTGTCGGTAGAATCTCCTTTATTTGTCGTAGAACGAATTACATTTAGATCCCCTAAATTTTAGCCCTATTTCCATATTATTTCATAAACTATTTATTTTCTTACTTTACGCCATAAACTATAGTTTGAGACATTGAATTTCATATTGGCCCGACCCTTGACTTATGTCCAAATTTTCATGGCAAATTCGTACATGTGCGAGAATAATTTTGCACTGTGAGTCAGCATCTCTTACAGACGGAGAGGATAGTGAATAAGCCTTGAGTAACCTGCAAGACAAGAGAACATCTAGGTAAACTGATAGTCGGAGATAGCTAAAGGGACTCTGATGCTTAAGTCAGAAAGCGAGTTGAAAATAGTATGTAGTGAAAGGCTAGGATTGAGTCCCTTACATGATACCTAGAGGCCTTTACTTATAGTGGTTGGAAATTGTGTCTCAAATGAACCCGAACTCTAGGTTAATTGCTCCTAAGTCCTTATATTTAGCTCTTAGTTGTTCGTCATAGTATCATACTAGGACTCTAGGTCCTCGATCGTACCATATTAGAGTACAACTTTTCTGCTAAATGGAAATCCAAGAGAACATGAGGGTTCCTAGTAGCTTACTTTGGAGTTAGGTGGCTGGCCTGTTATGGCCTTGGATACCTAGTGGATGAGTGAGGATTTCTACTAGGCAAGTATCGACCAGCAGTAGCTTGCCCAAGTAAGTACCGACCGATAGGCACCTACCCAAACAAATGCCGACTAATGGATGGCTTGCCAAGTAAATGCCAACCAATGGATGGCTCACTAGGTGGGTGTCGAACGGCAATAGGTGCCTTTATGCCTCACAATTGTNTGGATGGCTCACTAGGTGGGTGTCGAACGGCAATAGGTGCCTTTATACCTCACAATTGCGCTCCATACCTTTATTAACGAACGTAGTTAATTGATGTATGTTTTCAGAGGACTTAGGTTTTTGGAGCCTTTATTCTTAAAGGATTAAGGTTTTAAGGTTTTTTCTCTCTCATCTCCTCTTTACTTACTTCTTTTTTTGCTTCTTCACTTGAGTCATAGGTTGGAGCTTGATTGATAGAGGGACATGAGAAGCATTCATTGTTGCTTGAACAGGGGACTAACTTATTTTTCTCTTGAGTAAGTCGAGCGATAAGAGTTGCTCAAGAGTGAAGAGGTTAGGGTAGACATGCTTGAGAAGTAACTTACGGATTTCAGAGTGAAGAATACCTTCTTAAAGAAGAAGGTTACTAAAGTAGAGGCTCGAGCTGGCGAGCTTCAAGAGGAATTTGTTAAGGCTAAGAGGGAGAATGCTAATATAGAGGAACAAGTGAAAAATGTCATCTGCGATCATTGGGGAGGACGTTCCATGGCCTGAGAATGACTTCTTGATTCCCTAAATCATGGGAAAGTTCCTTGGTGGTGGTGGTGTGGGTCTTCTAACACATGTGCCCCCCCTCCCCCGGCGCGTTCTGACCGAAGGGAAAAGGTCGCCACAAGTTGAGGTGTTCAATGCTTAGAGGTGGCAGATCCTCAAGAAAGGCTAAGTAGTCTGTTGAGTAATTATATAAGTAGTTGGTTGTCTGTCAAAGGCTAAGTAATTTAGAGAGCAACCTTAGAAGTTGCATAGAGACGAAGTAGCCTGAAGGGCCACCTTGGAGATTGCATGAAAACCAAGTAGCGCCAAGTATCCTTAAGGACAACCACGGAGGTTGGCTAGAGGCGAAGGAGCCTTGAGGTGCAACTGCGGAGGTTGACTTAAGGTGCAACTACGAAAATTGGATTGAGGTGAAACCACGAAAGTTGGCTTAAGGTATAACCACAGAGGTTGATTTAAAGTACAACCACAGAGGTTGGTTGAAGGTGTAGCCACGGAGGTTGGCTTGAGGTGAAAGAACCTTGAGGTGCAACCGCTGAGGTTGCAATAATCACAAAATAAAGGAACATTTAGAGTTATGAAAAACAAATTTCTCTTTACTAATTATACGTTTTGTGTTAGTTTGGTCCCAGACCTTTCAATTGTATCAATTTCATCCCTCAAGTTTTCAATTTGTATTATTTGTTACAAGTGAAATCAATCGTTTAAATTGACTAATAGAGATGGTCACATCCATCTCACGTGACCACAATTAGGGGGCATTTTTAAAAATGTAAAGGACTAAAGAGACACAAGTTGTAAATGTGAAGGACTAGATTGCACACATTACAAATTTAAGGGACCAAAGTGACTCCCAAAATAACACAAATCAAAAACTTATGGGACTGAAATAACACAATTAAAAGAATGAGGACCAAAGTGATACAAACTGCATACTTTAGGAATGATTACAATATTTTACCCTAAATAAAAAGAATCAATTGAGACAAGTAACCACTCGTCAATTTCTCAATGTAAGTCTTGTCATAAATCTTTCTCTACCTGCAATGGGTAAAAAAGGGCTGGAAGCAAACAATCAAGTACCCTAATTGAGAATAATGTGGATTAAGCGTATCAAAATACAACCGTCAACATCAATCTCTCCCCTCATTTGATCTCCCCTACTATACTCCAAAAACCTCTATCTCCCCCTTTTTGAAAATATAACAATACATATGATCTTTCCCTTGTTCTAATGCATGGCATATTGGATGTTTTGGACATATCGCAATGTTAAGTGAGAGTCGTCTTGTGCATTCTCTAATGTTGTGCATTCTCTAATGTTAGGCTTGTCCTACATACATAATTTACAAAACTTTCAACTAGTATATAAAGTGGCAAAAATATCACCGTATAATCCAAAAATGGAGGAGGGACGAAAATTATATAACGTTCTGCACTAGATTTCGAACATGTACACATGTCATGGAGGGACTTGGCGGTTGGATTTATTTTTCTTATCATTGTTGCAAATTACAATGCACAGAATTTTGGCACATATCACTGTTAAGAATAACAGTTGGAACTGCTAATTTCAACATCACTAATTTTTCAAAAATCAATATAGCCACAACTCTTTAAAAAGTGTATCCGACCTCTATTAAGGTCTACAAATAAGAGTTCTTCAATTTTAGATTACTTGAGATATGTGAAAAAGATACTCAAATTAAGAATAGAACACCGTATATATAGTAAAACAATAGTATAAAGTAACCTGAACATTAGGCAAAACATAAAAGTAATAGTAAAGGTAAAAAAAGAAAAAGAAAGAAAAGAAATTCTAATAAACTAGACTATAACTCCAACACTCCCCCTCAAGGTAGGCGCAAAAATGTCAACTAAGCTAAATTTGACAAACTGAATCCTAAAAAATAGATAGAGTGACAAATTTTGTGAAAACCTCCACAACCTGATCACTGATTCTCACAAATAATGGAGCGACAATACCACAACTAACATTTTCCTAAAGAAAGTGAATATCGATTTTAATATGCTTCGTTCTCTCGTGTAGTATAAAGTTAGAAATGAGTTAAATAGCAGATCGATTATCACAATATAATGTGGATAGAGAAGTCATTGAAAATCTCAACTCGTCAAAATCGATTGTAGCCATATAATCTCACACGTGCCAAGTGTCAGTGCTCGATATTTTGTCTCTGCTGATGAGCGGAAGACAATTGTTGCTCCTTGCTCTTCCAAAAGATAAGATGTGTCTATCAAAAAGCACAGAAGCCCGTAGTAGATCGTCCATCACACGCTCCTTCATAATCTGAATCTGAATAATAGGCTAGAGAACCAGTCTGAGATCCTGATGCATAGAACAACCTTAAGTCTAGGACAAGACTTGAGGTACCGAAGAATATGATAAACTACATCAAGATGAGGCTGACATGACCTGTGTATGAACTGACTAACTCGACTGACAGTGAATGAAATGTCTGGCCTAGTGTTGACTAGGTAGATAAGTCAACCTACCAACCTCTGATAGACGGTCGAATCTCTCAACTTCTCACCTTCAGCAGTAAGCTTCAGGGTTGGAATCATAGGTGATGATGTTGGTTTGTACCCCAGCATCTCAGTGTCTGAAAGAAGATCCAGAACATACTTTCTCTGAGAGAGAACAATACCCCTGCTGCTACCGACAACCTCAATCTCAAGAAAGTATTGTAGAAATCTAAGGTCCTTCACATCAAATGCCTTCCCAATGTTTACTTTGAACTATGCAGTCCTAGAAACATCATCCCTAATAATAATAATATCATTAACATATACCAAAAGGATGACACACTGGCTAGAAATATTTCATTGAATGAAGCAAGTATGATCAGAATGACATCTGGTGAACCCTAAACGTACAACGACACCACTAAATTGAGAGAACTAGGCTCGTGGTAACTATTTTAGTCGATAAAGAGACTTACGCAGTCGACATACCTTTCCAACATGCTCCCACTTACCACGAAAGCCTGGGGGTGCATCCATATAAATAATTTCGTCCACATCACCGTGAAGAAACACATTCTTCACATCTAACTGATAAAAAGACCAAGAGTACTTCGCAGCCAGAGAAATAATCAATCGAATAGTAGTCAATTTTATCACGGGGACAAAGATAGCACCAAAATCATGACCTAGCACTTGAGTAAATACCTTCACCACAAGCCTAGACTTGTGACAATCAATAGTACCATCCGCAAAAAACTTCAGGGTGTAAACTCAACGATAGCCAACAGGCTTCACCCCTAAAGGTAAAGAGACAAGATCCCATATATGATTACGCCGAAGAACATCCATCTCCGTCTACATGGCAAGAACCCACAAGCGCTCTCGCATAGCCTCTATAATAGAGCGAGGAGTTGACGTATCTGATAAGGTCATACTATAAGTTCAAAATGTAGGAGACAAATCACCATAAGAAACATAAGTAGAGATCGGATATAAAGTCTTGGTGGTCCATCCATAATGAACAATTGGACGGTGATCACGCTACAGATAACGACACCCTAAATCATCATCCTTCATTGAAAATGTCTCATCAGGTAAAGTAACAGTACCTGCAATC